ATCATCTTCCTCATCATCTTCATCATCATCATCATCATCGTCATCGTCATCGTCATGGTCATTGTCATCCTCATCTTCATCCATTATTCCCATCACTACTAACCTTAAGCAGTAGAACATTCCTCCTAAATCGCAGAAATACCATGTGATGTTAATCCATGAATCCCCAGTTTGCACGTCCAGAGGTGGTCGTATCCTGTTTGATGGAAAGAACGGCGAACTCTTGGACGGTGATGGAGAGTCTCTTGTCGGAACCTGCTGTCGAAAGCTGCTGTTCAGCGCCCTTCAGTCAAAGATGGTCGATGGTTATGCGGTTATCATTCCATGGGGATTCCATGGGGTTATAACATGTTATGACTGACTTATAACTTATAACTGGTAAAGGGCCAAAACTGTTTGTTTGTAAAATGGATCCCTGGAATTGCGAACATCCTAAGAAATCGTTGGGGAATATGTAAAATATGAACAGGAACTAAAGAGAGAGAGAGAGATATATATATATATCCTAGCCTTGGGATTGAACATGGACCCAGAGGTGGGTTCTCATAGGAGCTGAAACTGGACATTGCTCCTACTCATCCCTACCCTATCCTACTGAATCAACTGGGGTGAACTCACCCATCAGGGTGAACCACCAAATGATCTGGCAATAGACTTGGATTTCTTAGCGGCTGAGTTGTCGCTTGGTGAAAGGTGGTGTTGTGGTGCTGCGGCTCCCCTGGGGTTAAGTCATGCCGAACCCCCATGTTTGATGGTGAAACCCAGCTTTTTTAGATGGTATTATACATGGATCCAGTTTGGATCCAGCCTAATTGGTCAATTTCATCAGGAAGATTCCCACCAGAAGACGTCTGAGCCTTTAAAGAGAACGTGCAAGATGTTCTCCATTCGCAAAGCCGCACAATTCGGCCGGGGCCCCAGTGGCCCGGGGTTCGTCATGGCTTGTCCTAGAAGGGCAAGGCCCAAAATACCAATTGGTAGATTTTTCGGGTTACACAAGGGGGGGTGCAATTCCGCTTATACTGGGATAGAGATATTTAGATCTATCATGTATATGCAATATATATATACGTAATTATATGTATAATATATATATATATATTAAATATATAATATATCTAAGTATATATAATATATAATATCTCTTAAATATCCAATATATCTAATATACATATATCTAATATACATATATCTAATATACATATATAAATATATACATATATACATATATATACATATATATACATATATACATATATACATATATACATATGTACATATATACATATATACATATGTACACATATACATATATACATAGAATTTTAATCATATATATATATATCACCAAACTATATAACCATAGTTTTACTACGACTTCGATCCCAACTTGTGGAGCAATTACCGATCTCCCAACATAAACCCTGAGAATGACCCATTGCCCAGTCTAGAAGATATTGGTCTTCCATTTCCATAGGAGGGTCTATGTTGGAGGGATTTTTATTTTATGTTTGGGAACGCTATACATAGAAATGATTGTGAGCCAGTGGAACGGAACGGGAAAATATCATTAAAAGACGCATTGCACCTTTGGCCTTTGGCTTGCCATTTTGGTTAATTTGATTCCTCTTGATGCTTATATCTGCACTGCCCTTGAGTCCTTGAACGGCAGGATGTGTCACTGTGTTTACTTTCTCGGTTGTAACGAGGGTTGCTATAGAGACGGCCCCCAATTCTCTGTTGATCTTACAAATGGGACAAGTCCACACCACGGCTGAACTACAACACATCAAATGGATGACCCTTATCCTGCGGAGGTGACAAGTCTCTACATATCACTTGGTGACGGTGGCTACGTGGCACCACAGACAGCGTGAGTAGAGATGGCTCCCCGGGCGCTGCACGGGGCAAAAAGCCCAGGATGTGGAGTGAAGCACAGTGAATCAAATATCAGGCATGGCACGTCCAATTTGTTCACTGAACATCACTGAACGCAGCGAATGCAGCTGTTTTGCCGATGTACTTGCAATGAGTCCCCAACTTTGGATACTTTAAAGTTGGTTGAACAAAATCAACCAGTCTCTTCAGTTGTTTGGCATCATCATCTACATCGAAATTGACACCCGGCAATCACCGGAGTCGACCGAAACTCAACACGAAACTCACGCGACGGGTTCGCCCCGCGACGGCCCCCCCCGCGAAGAAAGGATGCTGCCCAGAAATGCAGGGTGGGGATGGTGAGGTCATTTCTCGGACAAAAAAGAAAAGGATTAACCAAACCATTTGGTCTGTGGATAAATATGATTCTCTACATTCTGTCAGTGTAAAAGGGGCCAAGGAGTTGTGGTTTAGCCATGTTTAGCCCGTGTTCTGACAGTCCCAGAGTTGCAGCACTGTACAGAAGGAGACCTCATCCCAAGTCGCCCCAGGATCAAAAATCCAGCGATTCGGAGGGAGCTGAAGGTATGGGGTCAGAAATTCATAGAATTTCCACCGTGGGAAGCAAGCGACCTTTCCGGCAGGGCCATTGGCTCAAACGCTGAAGCACAAGCGCAACCATGGCCGTTGGTGATTTCATAAAACATGTTTGTGACTTTGCAGGTTCCTTGGGTAAAAACAATCGATAATGACTCTAATCGATGGATACGGGCTCGACAACCAGAGAAAGGCCTCAAGACGGCTGTCTGTGTTTTCTGTTTTGGAATGCTGACGGATCGTTCAGTTGGAAACTTGATGAAGCAGGACTATTGTAGCCTCCCAATTATGCGGTTTTCGGAGGATTCCTGAGTTGAATCTGATCGATGGATCACCATCTCACCCTAGCTACTCCCGCTAGCATATACCAGCATGACGAGCTTTGCAGTAAGTCGTCAAATCGGGAAATCAGCACCAAAGTCGCTTTAAGATGGCTCTCCCTTTTTTTTTTGGTAAATTGGCAACCTTATTTTATCTGGTATTTCGAACCTCATGTTCATTTCTTTTCAAAAAGAATGAATTGGAGTAAACAAACATCAACGCACCATTTTCAGACACAGTCTCTTGGTTCTTCCGCCGATTTCGTGGAAGCTCCTGTGATTTTGTTGCGACGTCACCGCCATGGCGGCCTGGGGGCCCTGGAAACCCTGGGGGCCCTGGGGGCCCTGGGGCATCGATCATATCATTTTTTTGTTCTCTTGGGATAGAACCTTAAACTAATCGATGGATATGTTGATTATTTGATACTATTTGTGCCTGAGGTAAACTTGGAGTTGATTGGGAGTCTTATCCCTATGAGTATAGTCATCATGAGTCATTGACCGGTTCTATGGATTCGCTCTGAGGTTTTGCGGCGGTTTTCATGGCTATGGCTGTCACACCCAGATGGGTCATGGGAAACAGGACGTGATCACCAACCGAATTGCTGATAGAACCCAAAAATCAGCAACGATCGACTACTGGGGGTGTAGTTTCCCTCCGGTATCTTACAGTCAATTCTTGCGATGGAATTTGAATGAATTATTTATAGAATTTATAGATGTTTTACAAATATTTACGGTGGGTCTTCATTGCAAATGAACGTTACCTTCCGACATGCGAGGACGGAAAAATGAGCGATGTAATCAAACCCATGAGGTGACTGACAACGAGTTATCTTGAACCATAGACCCTTCACCGCCTTCACCATTACCACCCTGCATTCTTCTATGTTTCATGATATCAGGATATATCAGGCTAGAGCTCCGGACGAAGCATGAGACCATGCTGAAAGAGAACGAATTGAACAAGACCATGGTAGTGAACGCCACAATCCTGAAGTGGTGATGAGTTGATGGATCTTCAAAGAGAGCAGCAAGGGGGGATAGGGCGAAGGAAGAGATCCGTTTGGAGAGGTCCAAAGCAAATTTTCGGAGCGGCAGAAGTGAGGGCTACAACACAAAGCTTGCGTCACTTGTGGTTTTATCCGCAACAAAAAATCTTGCGAAATGCACTGTTTTGAATCAACTACACACACCGGGATAATGGCTAGTCCCTGCTGGACCATTGTTGTGGGTAGATTGAGATCCATTCACAAGCTGGTTTGGTCAATGGCCATTTCAGCAACCTTAAATTGCAGGTACCTATATATCCATACAACCCAAAATATAGCTTAAAAAGATGGTAATCTGCAGTTGAAGTAGCTGAAATGGCCATTGATTTGGTGCGAATATCTGAGTCAAATCGTTTTGAACAACATCCTAGGTACCTCATAAAAATCGGAGATGTTTCTATATATTTCCATGATAAAGATACCGTGATACCCGACTCTCAGAGTATATAGGGGAATGTAGAGGACGTCGGCCTTGATCGCGGTGAGTGAAGGGGGGCTGCTGTTTCCGAGAGGTTCGGCGCTGCTGCTTTGGATGAAGAACTTCGTTTTCATTTTGAGTCCCTTGGCAGCGCATGGCAGCGCAGACAAAAAGATGACTAATTATTAGTAGCTATATGGAAAATTTAACATTTTTGTTGAAGGTAAATCATCATAAATCATCTATATAAATGGGCCATTTCCCATAGCTTACTGTTTCAATGACCAGATGGTATTTTTTGTGGCTTCCTTCTCAAATTTCAAGAGGTAGGGAGGAAGTGACATTCACCTCTCCACACCAGAAAAAAATGTCCTGTTTGAGTGATTCAATGCACCACTCTTGAAATACCCCTATTCGGCTGCTTGTACACGTTTTGTTAACTCTATTTTTGGTTGCTGATTCACTATTTTAATCTTGTTCAGTGGCTTGGAATTTGGAGTTGCTGTAAAGCCTATTTAACCTATTTTGTTGACATACCCCGTTGATATCATGTATTCTGTGCTCAAATCTCCAGAATCCCCATGGTTGGACGCCGATACAGGGTCATATCCCTTGAAAGCCATGAAAACCCCATATTTTTTGCAGGCTTTTGAAATATGTTTGATCCCTTCAACTACAAGGTGGTGCTCCATAGTTAGCAAAGTAGCTTTATAAGTTTATAAGTTTACTTTCACTATAGGCTTTACATGATATATCTATTCTTCTATGGTTTATGACACCGACACCTCATAAACCACCTATGTTTCACCAGGCTGCGAAGCCCGGTCCCAGACCCCTTCGCCTCGCGCCGCGGCCCCTCTCAGTTGTGCCTCGCGCTGTGCGCAGATGACCGAGTCGGACCGGGAGGCCATCAACGGTATCTACAGGCGCTGTGCGCGACCTGGCGCATGGGGAGTATCTGAGGATTAATTTTTTATGGGATAGTTGATATGAATTAATATGTATACAATGTGAGGCCCCCCAGTTATAAGTTGGTTTATAAGCCCCAGTAACTATAGTTATAAATACCATAAACCATAGTTATTGGAGTTATAAACCAACTTAGCTATCTTGGGGGCCTCACATTGTATGTATATGTGTATGTATATGTGTATGTGTATGTATATGTGTATAACACATATAACCAGCCTTTTTTGGTGGGGAAGTTGTCTCGGAACGGTACATCCCCTCAATGTATTGCAACTGTCATGGGTCAAATTGAGGTTCCAATCATTATTTTTTGGGTGCCCTATGCTCAGACACATCCAATTAATGTGCTTGGCTGGGCCCTGGATTTGGTTGTCTAGGCGGGCTCAGTTAGAATCCCCTACACAACTGGGTATATATATATATAATTATATATATATATATATATACGTAACATTAATGAAATGACGGTTAGTATGGTAGACAAACCCTAACAATGGTGAATTCAACCATAAACAATTGGACATCAACAATCACATAGTTGGATTCCACCATTTAAGCATCAAACATACTGGGATTTAACCAACAAAACTGTGATTTAGAAATCCAGTGTTGGGATTTACCCAACAAAATTGGGCTTTAGCAGTCAACTACTGCGATCTTTACAAGCTGTTTGGCAAATGAATGGCGACATTGGCCGAATTCACCATAGACACGGATAGACCTTGGCCGGTGGTGAAATATCGTCAATCTGCCTGGACATGGCGGACATTGGGATATACCTTCGACAGACAACCTTTGGCAGATCCTCGGTCCTCGAATAATTGTAAACAGGTATTGAACCAACAATCATCATGATTTGCCATCCAAAATAGTGATTTCACCAGCAAACTGTGGGGTTTTTCAGCGACAGACGAGACAGATGAGAATCTAAGGATTTCACCAGAAGCAAACATGTGTAGTTGACCATAGGCATACTACTCATAGGGATTGCATGTGCAAAAATGGGATGTAAGTCGTCACAGGGTGATGCTTGGGCCGCAAGAGGGTCCCATCCAAGCTCCGCCAGGTCTGCTGGGTGCGGCAGTGGCGTCAGGCAACCCCAGTGTGGTTTTGGGCCGGGGGAACCAGGACCCCAATACAATTGGTTACACCATGTTAGGAAAATTGCCGATTTTGGATGATTTTTTGGTGTCCCCCATTGTCCCCCATGTTAGGAAACCTTCGTTTGGCTGATTAAGAATTGCCAGATTTGCCTCTTAACAGGATTTTTTGCGAACCAGTCGAGCTATGCAGAACCTATCCACAAAGGGCTTTGGAAGTTGTTCAAACGGCCAGTTTCTATCTACAAATTCAAGGTCCTGTCGCAGTCAGTGAGAAGACTTGCATGACCCAGGTATGCTGAGAACTTACCCTCTGGTAAGCTAACATAACTATGGAAAATCATCATTTTAAATGGGAAAACTCACTATAAATCACCATTTTCAATAGCTGTGTTAAATTACCAGAGGGTACCCTGTGCTTCACCTGAAACACACGCCGTTCGTCATATCAGGTTGGTCGTTGTACGAAACCCGAAATCCCCCGGGATCATCCCAGGTAGTTTCAGATCAAACCCACATGTTGGTTTGGTGATTTGCTTATTCACCTATGCCACGTATAAGTTGTTGATCTTTGATGATATGTGTTAATGTATTATTTATGTAATGTTTTCAAACCCAATGAACTACAGATAAGATAAACCATACTTAACCTGGTTATTTGATGTTATTTGCACCAACTTAAGTATGATAATTCAACTATAAATCCACCATGCTTGGTACATCTTGGTACTGCCCGTGCTAAGGGCCCTGGATCACATCCTGTGTGCGCCTCATCGATGGAGCAGTCCAGGGACCCAGCAAAACAGAAACCATCAGAAACCCAAACCACTCGCTTCGGAAAAGCAGATTTCACCAAGAAAAGTGTGGATTTAACATGATTTACCCTCTGGTAATTTAACATAGCTATAGAAAATCACCATGTTCAGTGGGAAAATCAAGTATTTCTATGGCCATTTTCAATAGCTATGTTAAATTACCAGAGGGTAACCATCAACAGTTTGTTTTAACCGTCAAAAATAGGGGATTCAACCAACAAAAGTGTGGATTGAACCAGCAATTTTATTGCGGAGTAATCAACAGCAATTGTAACAATTACATACCATTACGGTTTGACCGTTGAATCTGACTTGTCCAGCAAACAGATTGGGGTTTCGGCATGAACTTGAGATTCAACAGTCCAAGTCAGATTTCAACCACCGAACATATTCAAAAAAGCGAACCTTTAGCCAAATTCGGATGGTTATACTATGTTATACTATAAGATTTGGGTGTAACCAACCTGGATACGAAACGTGAAATGAATGGTTGGAGAAATGGGTGTTTTTTACCGTTGCCTACTCGCTATTCTGGTGTGAGCTGTGAAGGAAATAGGGTTTTAAGACACAGCTCCATGCGACAAGAGTTTGGGGTTTGGTTTTCTAACTCGCAAAGGACGATAACTGGTTTGTGGTTTGGGACATGGACATGGTTTTTATTTTTCCATATATTGGGTTTAATCATCCCAACTGACTTTCATATTTTTCAGAAGGGGTTGAAACCACCAACCAGATAAACAAGGGATCTGACATGATCTAACATGATCTAACCAATCACGAGTGGGATTATTGTTGGTGGCTGCCGACGAAAATAATCACCGTCGCTATACCTCCCTGTAGGGATGCAAACCCATTGTGACACACTTGGGGTCTAGAAATAGCGACAGGGAGATTATTGAAAAACTACCGTGTGGTGCTCCATGGCTGAATCCAACCATTGAGTTCCATAAATTGTCCTATTTAGATATCCCATGATATCCATTTAAAGCTGGAGTTCCCAACTAACCATTCCATTCCAAGCGCTCGCAGAGTCCCAGGGGCCTCAGAGGAGGCCATAAATACCTCTGGCTGGCTGTGCTAACCTGGATTATTGGAGAGTATTTTTGGTTATTTGATTTATAACATATTATTATCCACAATAGGATTTGTTTTACAACGCAACACAGATGTAATTCTATGTAATTGGTAATGTCTCTGAGTCTCTGATCTCATTTCGAAAGGTGCACTGACATGGTACTTCTTTCGAAGATTCTCCGCATGTTGGTTTCAGCTACCTGTGACCTGAGGCTGTGTGTTGGAAGCTGTGGCAATCCACTCAGAGAATACACCCGGTGTGTTGCCACTACTCTTTGATTGTTTTTGTGATACCAGGTTGCTGGTTTCAACGTTTTTTTGTCGTTTTCTGTCCGATTACGTTGGATAACTATATCACTATGATTCAAGTGCTTTCTGGTAATCTAACGCAGCTATGGAACATGGCCCATTCGTGGATGATTTGCACATCAAAAACGGTGGTTTTAAGCAGCTATGTTGGATCAACAGAGGGTACACATCCATGTTTCACCATGTTTCACCATTTTCCACCATAAAAGGACCATTCAATTACTTAAAAACCTATTGAATTATTGAATCCCTATTTTTTCACCATGGTGCATGGCTTACGATGGATTTTGACAATTTTATCAGATGACTTGAAGCAGAGACAGTCCATTCCAACGGTGACGCAGTGACGTCTGAAATGGGGGGCGTTAGCCATTTTGTTGCCATGTTGATAAGGGATAATGAGATGGTTAATCAATGGATAATTACCTGCCCATTAAAACAGATAAAGAATGGAGTATGATGATTCATCAATGTCTAAGAAAACCCAATTGTCAATTGATAATTTCCCATGTTTTATAAAACAATGGAGAAAATTTTGATTCATCAATTGATCAATGGCTGATTTACCAATCTTTTTGCCATTTATCATGGATAATGATGATTAAGGATGGATGGACTGGGGTAGCCTTTCTTCTTTTTGAGGGATGGACTGGGGCCCATTTCCCGGATTGGATTGATGATGTGAACCTTTCTGGGACTGGTCAGATGAACATCAAGTCTTCCCTATATAGGTCCTATTTTTGCTGGAAGAAATTGTGTTTCTGGTCCGCTTAAAAACCTGTGTTCATATTCTAAATGGTTCCGGTTGCGTTTCTTTGATTCTCAGTGGCTGTCCCCTACTTAGTTGATGGACTCGACTGGATTACTGAGGTGGCGGGCAGCAAGACATGGTCTCCATCTCAAGTGTCCCAGGGTCCCACGGGAAGTGCCAGCTGATTTTCTCCAGCATATACACATGTAACATGTATCAATGTAGATTGTAGGATCAATGTATATAGTGTGTATATTGTTGTAGACATATACAGTATATATATATATATATATATTATATTTATATTTAATTATATTTAATATATGTATATATATACATATATATATATATGTATATATATACATATATATATATATATATGTATATATATACATATATTAAATAGATATCATAATATCATATATACTATTGAATACTGTATTATCTGGAGCCCACTCTCCGGTTTTGGTGCAGAACGTCTCTTGGAGATCCAAGGCCACCTTTTTGCCTGGCGCTTTTGGTCCTGGTTCTTCAGCTGCCGGAGGCCCAAGGTGCTCTCAGCGGTCATCTGAAGCAAAGTAGGTTCAGACATAGGCATATTAAAGTGATGAGAATATATTAGAATATATATATATATATATATCAAAAACAATTGATATCGGATATTGAAGTGATGAGACTATACCAGTAGTCATATATTGTATAATATATATATACATACATACATACATAATAGATATAATTATATATATATATTGAAATACATGGATATGTTACCCACGCGGCTGGCGTAGCACTGTGGCCTGGGTTTGACGGCTGGCCAGATCAGGTCTCTGCGCGGACATTTGAAGCGGACCTAGAGGCGATGCTGTGGTAAGTGCTGTGGGTATTGCTCGGACATGACCATGTTTTGTATGTCATGTCAACCCCGGATTAATAAACCATGGTTTATTAATCGGGGGGGTTACTCACCAAATAGTCATAATCTGATACTTACATGGTACCCTCCCAATTAAACAGCATAAGGGTTTATTAATCCAGGGTTGACATTAATGTAAAACGATGGCAATGATGGTAGAATGGCTATTTAATCGGGGTTTGATAAAGGTGTAATAATAATACTGTAATAATAATAATAATAATTATATATATATGTACATAAAGTTTTTTATATATATATAATAAACATCCATAAATGGGCCACAAACAGGCCGTTGCTATTTATATATATATATATACACAGCCATGTTAAATTACCAGAGGCCAATTCTTAAACATGACGTGTGTATAGGTACCATGAAGTAGCTCTGAGAGGCTCTGTCAGCAGAAGTTGTTGAGGGTGAAGGGCCTTGAGGTTTAAAAAAACAGATTCCTAGGGTCGCACACTCTGCCACATGCTACATATATAAGGCATATTTTTTAGGCCTATGTAAGGGAATATCCCCACAAAACATGGCCTTATATGGTACAGTACCCCCAATTTAGGATCCTGGAATTCCCATTGACTACATCATGCTACATTTATCGATAAACAATAATATGAGTTTGAAACCTGTTGGTTCCCAACAATGTGAAGGACAATTCTACGACCAGAGCTGCATTCATCCAGACAATGTGAGAAAATGGAACGTATGCGTCGCTGCAAAATGCACGCTCACCAAACACATCCACACGCAGTTTCACCATATGTTGGCATTTCAAGAAGATCGAAATTCAACAGCTACATGGTTTGTGTACATTGCGTGCGACTTATAGTCCAACATGCTATCAGGATTGGTTTTTGAACACATTATCCGTATTGTTCGGGCAAACTGTGCATAGTATTGCCAATGTGTTAGTGTGAATAATATATAATAGTCACGAATAGTAATACGTTTGTTAATTGTGCACATGCATACACATTATAGAGATGTGATATGATAAAACATTATATAATAAGAAAACACACAAATACACTATATACAATAATAAATAATAATAATAATAACAACACTATATATATATACATATAATATCATATATATATACACATAATATCATATGTAATGTCAACCCCGGATTAATAAACCACGGTTTATTAATTAGGGGGGTACTCCTCCAATAGGCGTAATCTGATACTTAAATGGTACCCTCCCAGTTAAACAATCTAGGGGTTTATTAATCCAGGGTTGAGATTATATATATATACACGTAATATACACATGTATACCCAGCAGGATTTTTTTTTGGGTGAGGTTCTAATGTGAGAGAGGTTTAAACAAAGTCCCATGGTTTTCACCGAAGTTGCGAGGCTCACAAGAGTTGTGCATCCCGCTGCGTCTCCGAAGGCGTTGCGGTGATCTTGGCGAATTTGATGAGGGACATTGAACATTTATGGTTGAAGCCCCGGATACTTTGAACATATATAGAGAGTCACCCAGAATTATAGGATTGTCAGGGATGATTGATGATTATTGGGTTAAACCTTCGAGGAGGGAGTACTTTGATACTTCAAAATATGCTGCCATACATGGGAACATTTCTACTAAGCAGCAAAACGACTTTTGCTTTTTGTAGAGCCTAAACCCAACGATTGGCCAACCATTTGTTCCAGGGTTTCTTACGTAAAAAAATCCACGAAACCGACCAAATGAGATGACCCCAAAGATACCGATGATGGGTGTAGATCTTCGTGTGGATGATGGGAGACAAGTCGCTAGTTTGAGTTTAAGGAAACACGACCAGTCGCAAGAGGCCTGCTCTGGGCAAAACTTAGTTGGCTAGGTTAATGATGGCTGTGATTAATTCGAAGCAGCACCTGAGGAATATGATCCTCATATCTCATGGCTACGCGTTCTTGCAGCGTCTAAGATTGGCCATGTCATCACCACGTTCAGCCACGCCTTTCCCTTGCTGGAAGGAGTGGTAATCTCAGCCAGTCGGGCTGATGCAGCAGAGAAAGCGTTGGAAACCCTGCAGCGTTGCGGAGTCGTGTTTGGGCACCCGGCTGTTGTTCCCATGGTAGACCTGGTTGTTCCCAGATAGGCTGGGGTTGGGCCCAAATTAGTACGTCTGAAAATTGGTTATACCCCCAATATCCCCCAATTATGGCCATTTAATGGATTTTGATGGATTTTGGGGTACACTATGTTCAGACTCACCGGAATTGGCATTGCGTTTGCTGCAGAAGTGTGACTGTCTGAAACAAATGACGAACATACCCATCAGTAGAAGTCCCAGGTTGTGCCACTCAGTTTTGCGCAGGTCAGCTTTAAAAACATTTCTACAGTGTCTTGCAGATGAGCTCAGAAAGGATGACAAAGTCACCTCAATTCTGGTGGAATATGTGCACCACTTCTTTAAGTACCTGGGAAGAACCCCAGTAGGGGACTGGTGGATTGCCACGCGGCGCCAAGGCAGTTGCAAGGCGCTTACGACTTAAAAAGTTTGGATCGATTTCAACAGGCTGGAGCTGCTTTTTTGCCTTTCAGAACTTTGCCTTTCACCAGAGGCTTCAGAGGCTTGGGATCCACATTAACACTGCAACATCTGCCACTGACCTGCAGGCTTTTGACCAATTGAGGTCCAAAGACAAGGCGCGGCACGGCACTGCACCCATGTCAACATGGACCCGGTCGGCCTGGTGATGGGAGTGGAACATGTCAAAAATTCATAACGAAGGTGATCCCACAAAGTCTGCTTGTGCATAGTATAGTATAAACATTCTTTTTTTGGGTGCCTGTTGAATAATTCTGGGGATACGTTACACCTGTACACCTGATATGTTCTCATGAATATATATCTATAATTATATGAGCAAGGGTCAAAAGACGCTATGAAAGGCTTCAATTACGATCCGCCATCACTACTCAAAATATGTGATTTACTGTGTGTAGCGATAGGGGGCCTTATGTAGCGATACCTCTTTTTAGACTTTGTTTATGATTGAAGCTTCCTGTTGGGCGCATGACTTTCCAATCTTTTGATGTCAGAGTGCGACACTGGAGCAGTCGCAGTGGGCTGGTCTTCCTGGGTAGTTGCAAGATGGCCTGTCGTCAAGTATATATGAGATAGTTACATTAAACAATATTGATATATTGGGGTATGTTGATCTATAAGGTATGCAAGAAACTAATTCATAACGCATCATGAGCTTGATGATGGTGATGATGCTGATGATGATGATGGTGATGATGTTGATTCAGATAGTGACCGTGCTGAGATATGTTGAAAAAGCATCCTTGTGCGGTCACGGACGCTTCTCCAAAGCCACTGTCCAGGAGTAGAATTGCAACATGGAGCTTGTCAGAATTTCGTGTCACTTGAAACATACACCTGAGATCACACATTTTCTGGTCCCCGTAGCGATGCCCGAAGCGATACCCCTCGATACCCAGAGCGATACCTGAAATCCATGAAATTAGGGAGTACCCCACATGGTCACTTGAAACTATACAACTTGTGCTATAGGTGGAAAAATATGGGAAGTATGAACAAGGGTACCCTCAAGTTCTTACTGGGTTAGTTCTTAAAGGGTTCATTTGGTCAGGGTTTTGCCGATTCATTTTGGCGTGGTATTAGGTTGCAAAGGAGGCGGGGTGAAGAAAAAAAGGCGCCGGAAACAAGGCAGCACAGGCAAGACAAGCCAAGACAAGCCAACACAAGCCAAGGGCAGCCTCCGAGGTCAGATGACCTGCAGTGAGTCCGGCTGGTGTCTAGCTGAAGCTGTCGACGTCAGCCTTGGTGATCAAGTAAAAGTTTGAATTTCCCTGGAGATACCATCGCAAGGGGAATAAGAATCCGATTCCTCATCTGGATCCTCCTCTTCTAGCAGCAATTCTGCCTAGTTGGTGAAAAGGGTGCTGGGACTGTGTGTAGCGATAGGGGGCCTTATGAAGCGATGCCATGACCTCACCACATGAATTGAGTTTTGACCGTCGCACATATATTAATTATATATATATTATATATATATATATACGTATGTATTATGAATATATACACGATACACATGTTGTGAGATTATGACCCTACATACTAGATTGGCCAGCATCAAGTCGAACTCTGGACTTGTCCTATAAATGCATACGGCCAAATCTCATGATTGTTTTATTTTTTTTCCGCTGGGCGAGTCCCTCATCCTTGCACGAATCCAGTTGATAGCAGTTGTTTGATTGATGATAGAAAAGGCCATAGTTTGGGCAAAACAGCTATGGGTCATAACTTCCGTTCACTCCAAATTAGATGGGATTACCATCTGGTTATTTAACATAGCCATGGAAAATGGCCCATTTATAGATGGTTTACCTATTAAAAATGGTGATTTTCCATGGCTATGTTAAATAGCCAGATGGTAGTTTAGATGTTCATCCCTTAAATTTGTGGTATTTCAGTGGTAATTTGATCCATTCCCAAATCGTATTTAGCCACCCAGATCCTGCCAGGCCTACAAGAAACTTTTGGATCAGAAACAGCTTCACGATGGCCGCTACCAGGTTGGGGAAAAAAACGATGGTGGATGCAGGTTTTTGGGGATCAAAAGATACCAGGTTACCAGACCTCTCAAGGCCGCAGATGTTGCTTAGTTTTAGTTTCAGGATGGTCTCCTTGTTATTTTACTTCCCAATGCTGATCGGTACCTGGCAAACACCACCATCTCGATATCTCAGCTGCACAAGCAACGGCCGGGAAGTGCATTGGGTGTTGATGGCTGTCACCACTCCTTGCCTTCCCATTTGTTAATTGGTTGGTCCGGTTTTGGTTCCTTGATCTATAGCATTTTTTGTCGCCCCAAAATCCGCACTGATATTGCTGGTATATGCTCATGTTGCCACATGAAACCAACCACTTGAGCTTGGGATAGATTGGGTCGGGTATATCAGTATCCCAATTATATACTGTATTGTTGAGGACTTCTATTCATGGTGTCCCCATATTTGTTTGCTACGTCTCACATTGATTCTGTCTGAACATATCCACTTTGGCAATAGTCCCATCGAGATTCATGCCATCTCCCAGAATTGGCTTGAGGGAACCCCATCTACAGTATGTTTTCCCGTAAATCAATACACGGGTAGACCCATGTAGACCCCAAAACACAACGGTTCGCGCAAATGTTAAGAGGAATATCCGATGTTGATTTATTATTGTGATGTGCTGAAACGACCATCACCAACCCCCTGGGTCTTGGCCAAGCCACAAGCTTCGAGGTCTACCTGCCCTTCACCAAGCCCTTCTCTTCCAGGGAGACCATTGGTGTAAGTGATCTCGTTCTGGAGGCTGACTTGTGACGGGGTCGGGATGGGGGGCAGACTACAGATGGAGTTACTTCATCGTGTTTTGTACATGTTACATATATATATAATTATATAATATATATTATATATGCATACTATTCGTTTTACAGATAATAGCCATTTTCGAATGTGATCGCAAAAAAGAGGAACTTTGGCCACCAGAGACAGGATGCTAAACAGTGAAACAATCGCAAACAGGATGTTTTACCATCAAAACGGGTGAACAAATTGCCAAAATCCCAACGAAATTGGGATGTCGGCCAAATGTCGCAAATTGTTCAACGTTGTTCACCGTTGAAGGGTATGTGTCCGATTTCAGGGAAATGAAACATTCGTGGTTCCGTGACATATTGGGAAGGGTAGAGCTCCAATGAGTTTACCATACGTAGTTTACCCATACATACATTGTAAGGTGAAATGCCCTGCTGATGAAGCATCAGAAGTCTAACAGCGCGATTCAATGGTGTATTTTTTTCCCTATTGGATATGGTGGCTCAATGTGGACTCAGGTCTTGTCATGGTAAAGGTGAAGTTTCTGAGATGATCAAAGGAGTCTTGCAGATGTTCAGAGCGAGAGGTTGAAGATGATTAATACTTGAATGATCCCGGCTCGCATCCGGTGTCTTCAGATACTGCAGAAGAATGGAAATCAAGACAAGACTGTGGAAACAGGTGGAGGTCACTCAGATCACAGTTACCCAAAGTGATGACTTGGGACATTTTGTAAAATTGCCCAAAATCTTCCCGGCTCCTGACCATTGACCACTGGATTTGCTGGTGCTTGGATTAGTGGATTTACCACATTGTCATCACCTGTGTCCCCCGCTATTGTATGGAGGTCCATAGAAACCAACCGGTGAGACCAACCTACAAACTGTAGTTGTTGGAAGTTGGGAGGTCGTGGGATACCAGGCGTCGTTTTTTGTTTCCTCGAATTGGATGAAGATCATAATAACTACAGTAAAGATCAGTAAAGCCCGATTTTGAAGGCTGAAAGTCAGGCGACATGTGTGTATTTCTCCTGAAACAAGGCCAGTGATTCCGGAAGTTCCAATCCCAAGTTTCAATGGGTAACCTAACCGTTGCATCCCGAGATTGATCACCATTCAATGGTGCCTTAAATATGTGGTCCCTTCAACGATCATGTTCCTTGGTTTTTGTTGGCAGGTCCTGACGATGTACTTCCAAATGAGTGGCAAGGGCTTTGGGATTGATCATGTCACGGTCCTAAACTCAGTCACCAATTCCGGGATGTCTGCGAAAAAAATGTGATGTTGCTAGAACAATAAACAATGCATAGCAATACAAATCAATACAAAGCAATACAAAGCAATACACTTGTATAATCCATGCATGTTGATCTCCCATCTGATTTTTCATGGCTTTGTCTAAACATGAGGGGGATCACTTCAACATTGCCTTTTGGTAAAAAGGATTTTTTCACCATGGGGGTCCTTAGCAAGCGTTCGACTTGGTCAATGATCGAACTGGGCCATTTTCATCCATGCTTCATGATTTTCCAAGATTACAAGGCTACTGATTCAATCCCTATTACCATCTATGCTTAACTATCTAATCATGTTCCATCATGTTCCAGGGCCGATTGAATTAGCACAAGGACTTTGTGCGTCAGTAATTAGCACCAGGCCTGTGACCTGACCATGACCACCTCCTCTGACAGCAATGTTTGGTAAGTGGATCCCTCGTTGGTAAAACACTCGAATCAAACAAAAATATCGGTGACCAACAGAGTTGCAAGAATCTCACATCATATGTTCACGCAGAACAAAACAACTGGTCTATTAAACTGCTTTGTATCTATATCAATGAAACCCTATATATATATATTTATATCATATATCCACTGAATAGATCATAATGGATCTAAATAGTGTTAACCAATGTTGGCCATTGATCATCAATCCCATATGGTTTATCTCTCGGAAACAACGCCAAGGTCTTGACCTCTTCCGCGGGCAGTTGGGAAACCTGGTGCCGTGCAAGGCGTTTTTCTTTTAATATATAGGGTGGATATCATGGGGATATCATGATATCACATATTAGAATATATTAGAATATATCAGTAATATTACTGTAATATATGATAAACTTATCAGAATACCTATATATACCTATGAACAATATGGAATATATATATATACATATATACATATATATAATTATGACAATAACTAAGAATCAGATCTGAACATTGGATAATCATGGAGCAGGAATTGGGATATAAGAATTGGGATATAATCACTGGGATATTCATTGGGATACTGATTGGGATATACAGTAATGGGAATGGACCCCCCCAGTAAACTAACCGTTTGCGATAGAGAACGGACCACTTAGTTCGATGGTTTCACTTTTCAACATGATGACTTATCATCCTATGTTGGATTACCAGGGGGTATTTGTTTGTACTGTATATGTATACTATGGTTTTGTCCAAACATTGGTGTAATACACTTGACAATATAAAACCAAAGTTTTGTCCAAAGATGGGTACTACGAGGAAAAAAAAATGGCTAAACTGACGAGAAACCATGGGGTGGAATGGGGTACTCTATTGTCAGACGACTGGAAAAGGTACATGTATAGTATGTATATATATATATTTATTTATTTATTTATTATTACATGTCACACCAGAATGCACGGTGATTGAGTGAAAGCCCTATCTCATTGTTGTTTTGTCCATTTTACAAATTAGGTGAACAGATGATCCGAGTGAGATAATTGTCCGCTTCCTGCTGTTTTTTTTCGCAGTTTTTTTTGGTTGGGACGGAATGAAGTTGAAGTACACCCTGTGCGGTCAGAGTCTCAGCAAATTGTTCCAGGCAGAAACAACCAGTGATGTGATTTCACATTTGTGACTTCATCCGGGTCTTAAAAAGTTGGTTAACCACTCATCCACCAAATGGTTGAGAAATCCTGGGTTTCACTGAGTTTTCCAATCCATCGTTTATTGTTGGGAGCAGCTACGAGAAAACAGGTACAGCACGGCATGGCTTGGACTTCCAAGGTGGCAACCAAAGCTTGCATCCTGATGTCCACTACTTCAAGGCGCAGGGATCAGGGGATTCTCCCAGATGTCTGCAGCACCTACACCCTTCCCGATGCCCTTGTGTGCAAAGTATTTAGGGACTACGGCACCATCTCAGTTCGATGCTTTCAAGAAAATATATGAACATTTCTCATGGCAAAAAAACAAGTCCCACTAGTCATGTAGTTGGTTCCCAAGGTTTCAAACCTTAATCCAGATGTTGTCGTCCAATGCTTTGTTGCCAATATGAAGGTTTCCTAAACAGTTTTTAGTACTGAAACCTATGGTGACTTTGGGATCGCCCCATTTTAAGAAACCCCAAGATCACTTCATCCCCCTGTTTTCGCCAGGGCTTATCCGTCTCGGTGCACACTGCTCTACAAGACGTGCCGTTGGAGATGGGGTCGGTCGGGCCTAACGCTCCGAACTTCGTGGTGGCAGTAACCGAAGCACCAAAGATACAGTAGGTGTTTTTGTTGCCAACCAATTTAAGGATTGGAACTACAAATGATGGTTTCCGAGGGTTATACTATGTTATACTTACATATACTTACATATTCATATACTTGCTGGTTTAACGGAGATCATTACAGTCCACTATGGGAGCCTTGCGGGGCCTTGCGCTCAACTAGTAGCTGCCGAGTTGAAATAAGTTTGTGGGGCACTGCTCATGTCAAGTTCAATTCCAATGGTGAATTGTTTTTCCGTGCATATGGTTTTGATGTATAGTTTTGAAGGCTGGGAGCATTCAGAAACGATGTCTTTTGCAATCCTGTTGGATGAACTAAGGCCAACATTCTTTTGTCCCTGCACCGGAGAATCCTTGTTTAGAGAGGCCGTGGATGGAATGGCGATCAATCTGTGGCCCCCTTTGGCTTCAAGTTGGGCTAGTAGACCTTTAGTCGTTTTTAGCAGGATAATTGCAGGCTTTCTTGAGAGCTGTGAAACAAAGACATATCAGCCAGTGGAATTTCTTGAGAAGCACACGGGTAAGTTTTGACAACCATATCCCAAGTACTCATTTGTAGGGTTTCAAGTTTTCAGGCTCTTGCCCTGTCAATCGAGCACATTGAGGGATTTCTGATACACTGCTGTGCAGTGTCTTTGCCCATGCTGTATCCTTTTGTTTTCCGTTTTCAATAGGGGTTTAATAGTTCAACCATTCAGCTCACGCGTCAACTCTGAGTGAGTGAAGTATGGATGTGTAATGCGTACGTATCTATACAAACACAGCCATGCACAGTTGATCTCGATGAATTGAGCCCTACAGGACTTAAGTTCCAGAGTCATGGAGGGCCTTGGTCGATTTCGCTTCCAGGTTTCATCAGGATTCCAGGTGATACAGATAGTGTATCCACTATTTTTCTGCCAACCCCATTGTGGGTAGCTGCTTGGTGCCGCCCTCTGGGGTGTGTTAGGAATGGCCTGCCAGCGCGGCGATCAAGATGAGTCTTGGCTGGAAAACACACCAACGATGGGATTGGATTTTTTCCACTGGGAGCGATTCAAGCGTGAACAATGGTGATTTACCCTCTCGTTATGACTAACATAGCAATGGTATAGATGGCCCATAGGAATAGATGGTTTACCGTTCTTAAAACTGGTGATTTTCTATCGATATGTTAAATAACCAGATGGTAATGGGATTTCACTGGATTTAAGCATGACAGGTTAACTATTGATGTCACTATCTCATCATTTCCAGGCCGAATTCGCTTGGTTTTATCTCCAATTGGAGTGATTCTCGCAGAAAAGTCTTTGATGTTCCAAGAATTAATGGTGACTCAGCAAGCAAACATTATCCTTCACCATGATTCCTGTCCATGAAATCAACTCTAAAATTTTCGCTAACGAGCTCACTGGCAGCACTAGCATGTGTATGCAACAAGAACCTTTGCATGTTGGTTATTGTTTTTTTGATTTGGTTTTTGGTGTATTTTGGTTGTGAAGTAAGCCCTCAGTCTGACGGTTCCAGGCAGATTGGAGTTCCAATGCACCAGAAGCCTGAGGTTTGGGATAGTGCTTTGATTTGCAATGAGGGCAGGTAAAGGATTAAACAGTGATCCCTTATATACACTCATAGAATATACTACCTTGGTACTGCGTTGTGTTTTTTTCAGTTTTGTTGGGAATGTTTACAACTAAATATCCTCCGGTAATCAAGGGTGATGGATGATGTTCCCATTCAAACCTCCATTTATAGGCTTGCGACGTTTGATTACTGGAGTGTATATTTCAATCATCGTTCTATTATATCAAACCCAACTATGTCCCAAATGGAGTTTAGCCCTGAATGATACTCCATGAAGCTCCTGCATACCGCTCCCAAGGACTATCCTGAAGCGGAAGGACTGTCGGACTCTGAGTTCCGGTTCCCTCACCTGTCCCAGGTGAAGAACACCGCATGTCATCATAGAGCAACTTAGAACATCCATCATGATCCATAATATTCCATAAGTATTATATATATATATATATTATATACACATTAAAGTTCAAATGGTCATAATCCACTCAAGCATCATAATCCACTTAATCACCTTAATCCACTTAGAACATTTTAACCATGGTCATAATAACAATCATGATAAAAACTGGTTGGTGGTTTGGAACATGTTTTTCATGTTCCAAAATATATGGGATAATCCTTCCCATTGACTTTCATATTTTTCAAGATGGGTTGAAACCACCAACCCGATATTGAATACTCTCTATTGAAAATGACCATAGAAATAGTGGAATTACCCATTAATAGCATGGTGATTTTCCCTAGTTATGTTAGTTTACCAGAGAGTATAGCTAAAAGTTATAAATCCTCTAAGTCCTTCAACCAAGATGTAGCCAGCCTAATCAACTATTTCTATGGCCATTTTCAATAGCTATGTAAACGTTTACCAGAGGGTAACCATCATTAATCATAAACCATCATTGACCATCATTAACCATCGTTAACCATCATTAACCATCATTAACCATCATTAACCATCATCAACCATCATTAACCATCATTAACCATCATTAAGCATCATTAACCATCATCAACCATCATTAACCATCACTAACCATCATTAACCATCATTAACCATCATTAACCCCCATTTATAGTGGATTTACCAGAGGGTAAAACCCATGATCATCCCATTTTTCACCATTGTTAACCATTAAATCACCATTTACAGTGGTTAAATCACCATTTTCCATTGTTAACCATCATGATATTAACCATTTATCATTTGTCATTCGCTTCGCTCCTCCCAGGTCTTGCCGCTCATTTGGCCCCTGAGATGACGAAACGCGGCACCGCCGCTTGGCTTGCTTGGTGCAAGCCGCCTCGCTCGTCAGCCTCGCTCACCAAGAAAACCAAGTCAAGGTTTCTGTGATATACACACATATATATATATATTATATGTATGTGGAATGGTGTCTTTTATATATATATATATACACATAGATGTACTTGTCTTTGTCTTTTAATGTATATATATATACAGTATATATACATGTATTCATGTATTTATCAAGCTTTATAGTTTTATACCTTACCTTATCTTATCATATCTACCGATGAATAGGCGCAGTAGATTGTCGCTGGCTGAGGTCACCATCTATGACGGTGCCATGTTCCACAAGGCGGCTGGGTTCCCCCCATTTGCCAAGAGACGACCTACGCGGAACTTGTAACGCTGAATCAGGGCACTTGGCCATGCGTTGTTTGATTTTGTTCGACAGTTCTTGGGCCATGAACTATGTACCCACGCCTTCACCAAACGCTTCATAGAGGACTGCCTTCACTTGGGTTCAGCTGCATTCCTTCCTGCCTTTGGGGCTCCAAGACCCTGAGAATCCTCGGGTGGACCACGTGCCCGTGCGAACTGTGGGCAGCAAAGTGGTTGGAATTCAGAGCAGCTTGGCAGCAGATTGCAGACACACAGGCTAGCACTGTGGATAGTTTATATACAGATATACCTAGACGCTCCAAGTACCTATAAACATTGGTAAACATATTAAACATATAGCGTCACATATCAAATTGTATGTTACTAGGAGGGTCTAGGTACATGTCTATATATATATATAATTATATATATATACTCTATATATACATATCATTACGGATGCATGTGTGCAAACACATGATTCCTACATGTTGCTGTCCGAGGACGCTATGGCCTTGAGACCCGTGGACAGCGGCCCCGGCGGCCCCGGCGCTGCCGGCGCCCGTGCGCAAAGGCGAGGGGGGCACAGCGAGAACCGAGGCGGCACGGCGGCAAAAATGGTGTTTTCACAGGATTTACCATGGAAAATCACCATTTTGAAATATGTTTAATAGGTACAAGGTGGTGCCCCATAGTTAGCTAAGTTGGTTTATAATTCCCATAACTATGGTTTATGGTAGATATAACTATAGTTAATGAGGTTTATAAACCAACTTATAACCGGGGGGGCACCATCCTGTAAGCCACCTATTTCTATGGGCCATCTATACCATGGCTATGTTAGTCATACCCAGAGGGTAACAATCGAACACTATGGTGATTTTAAGAGCAAAAATCAATGATTTGGCCAGCAGTGGGATATCTAACATATTCCATCATTGACTATTAACCATTATAATAGTTTAACCATTATAATTATAATTGATGTTTAACTACTGTTATTGAATATGGTTTCAGTTTCGGGATTTGTTCACATCAATGGGTTGGTTTTGGTATGTTTCCATCATCCATTTCTGGGCTGATTTAAACATATACCCCCAGCCCAAAATGGCATGAAATTCCTTCTTCAAAAAGAACAGGCGGTTTGGGGTTGGCTGATCTGGGAAATCAAGGGAAAATATGGACCAAGAACATGTAGGGATGCAGCTAGAAGCTGGACACTATGTGGAACTACGTGTGGGATTGGAAGATTATGGAAGACGAAGTTTGTGGGAAATGTGAATGATACCTGCATGGCAACGGCACAAACTGGCGACTCCCACAGGATGGACCAAGGTTCTAAGGTATAAGGATAGTTTGCCTCGATCCTAGATGTTGGGAAGATTCTATATGGATCTATATGGGAGAGATGTTAAATTAACAGGTCGCGGGCTTACTTTCACATGTACGATCATGTACGATTGTTGACCCGGCCTGTACGAAATTCTAAGGTTGGAGATGTTTTTAGACAGTTTGGACCAACAGGTTTCATCAATTTGGTTGATCCATTTGGGTTGGGTACCCTCTGGTAAACATACAAAAAGCTATTGAAAATGGCCATAGACATAGTGGATTTTCCCATGAAAAATGGTGATTTTCCATAGTTATGTAAACGTTTACCAGGGGGTACACTTTTTACTGGGAAGGAGCAGTCGTATCAGTCGTCATTTTTTTTCTTGTCATGTCAATCTACAGACATGGTCACAACATGTCACAACATCGTTGCAACACCTCTCCAGTCATAGATGTTGGTCTAGATCCCACAAACAGGGGTTTCATCAGGTGTAAAATGTATTTCGGATTACCGAATTCGAATCCTTTCGAACTATTTTTGTTGTGCATATGTGTATCTATATTCAGTCTGCATAATCTTTGGATATATTCTATTTTATGGATATTTTATGGATATTCTGTTATGGATTATTGGATATTTCATGGATCCTCAATATCCACAATTTGTAATCTATATCCATAATCTTATCTATAATCTATAATATTGTATTGGATATACTGCATATATTCTCATGTCTCAATGGATCCCCAAAAAAAAACTCAGTTGGCGACTCACGTCGTCTCAGCTGAGGTTTAGCGGCCCGAGGCTGGTGAAACGGACATGTGGAACCAACTTTTGGGCATTGAACGAACCTTGGTCAAGTGGACATACCCTCTGGTAAACTAACGTAACTATGGAACATCACCATTTTTAATGGGTAAATCCACTATAAATGGCCATTTTCAATAGCTATGTTAAATTACCACAGGGTATCAGGATGGTTGAGAAAGAAAAGGAATATCCATGGGAATTATCTATAAATCTATATATATATATAATTATATATATATATATGATATTATATCTTGGTGCACTCTATATTCTTCACTGGTTTCCTGCTGAGCCCATCTGTGGCAGGTCATGAAGCTCCGGCGCCCTTCGGCGCCATGGCACCCTTTGGGGGATCCCTCTTCGGAGGGTCGGATCCCTTCCAGGTTGGGACCGATGTCGTGTTGATAGCCATGGCTATACTTACTGGTCCGTTTTACGTAGGGAATGGATGGGTTGCTGGGGGTTGCTGGGATGATGAAATTACTAGTGATTATGGATCATTCCCGAAAATTCCCTGCGTTTAGCACCAGTAAGTTTTTGGTCATGGCCAATTGAACCCCAGAACTTTGCTGGTGAAATCCCACAAATTTCTTGTGTTGAATTGGGGGTTTGACAGCAGTCAATGGCTTTGGGCCATGGACACGTAGCTATCGGTCACAATCAAAGAGCCGTGGGGCCACAGTTAATTGCTCATTTTTGACCCCCAGGGATGTGCTACCAGAGAAACAGCTGAAGAGGATATGGAAAAAAAATGAGGATTCTAGCGGGAGGGGTACAGCCATGCCAGTGCAATTTGTTGGTGATGAAGCCACCAGTTTCTGGGGCTTCTTGATGCATTTGGACTTACAATACCAATGTGGGAACCAATGAAACTGGCCTAAATCATCTCCAATTCGGATTCTCAACGGCTCAAATATGAAAAGCTGATAGGCAAGCAGTGCACTTTGTGATAAAACCAGCAAGTCATTTCTTTATTCGATCAATCGGCTCTAGTCAAATGGATTGGAACAGGTTCTCATAGTTGTTTATTGGTTTCCAGTTTCTAGTTAAATGTCTTCTAATTCCTGGTTGATTTATTTCTTGTTTTGGATGTGTATGGTTCTCTCATGAGCAGCTGGAGTCTTTCAGACCGGTGTCATCACCAGCTGTGGATCTCATCCCCAGCTGCCAGACGCGCCCGTTGGATGTTGATACCCGGAATCGTAGAAAACCGTGGATGCGGGTCACCCATGTCATATGATATATCATAGAGCTGGTTAAACACTCAATCACATTTAAATTACTGAAGTACTCCATATACATGATTTCAATAGTTGGTTTAATTTATACATGTATAAGAGTAGCTGGGGTTGTTGCATCCCATAAAGGGATCAACTCATCATATTTTGCCACACTTGTTCAACACATACCCTCTGGTAAACTAACATAACTATGGAGAATCACCATTTTCAATGGGTAAATCCACTATTTCTATGGCCATTTTCAATAGCTATGTAACAAATTACCAGAGGGTATTTTCCGGCTCCGCGTCGCCAGGAGTTCAGCCAGGGCCCTGGCTTTGGCTTCGGAGGCTCGATGATGTCACGATTCGACAACCTCGCGGCTTCTCGGCGCCGCCAACTGATTGTATGGAATCTGCCAACGGAGTAACTATCAGGGATGAAAAACAGTTATATATATATATGGTTGGTGGTTTGGAAAACATTTTTTATTTTCCCCAATAGTTGGGATGATGATATAATCTGACCAATATTTTTCAGGGGGGGTGAAACCACCAATTAGATATATATATATATACGGTATCATTGTTTATCAGAATGGAATCATAGAAGTGAAGAACGTAATCAGTAAATGGAATCACGAAGTGTGTAGCATGGAATAGCGGTTTTTAGCATTGGGTTTGTGGTAGGCAACAAACAGAATTCCAGAAAGCCCTGGAAGGACAACCTATCAGAATTAAATTCCGGTTCAATTCTTTCCAAATCCTGAATTTACCCCCTCCTGTGATCATCAATTTCCCCTGAAAACTGCTTTAGTCTTCTTGGGGTACATCTATTCTTGGACCAAGCATGACTCACATGACCAAGCCATACACTGAATCAGGCAGAGATGATGCGAGGTTTTCCTGACCATGGCGAGATGAAAGGATTCTCCAGCAATGTTCCAGGCGGGGTTCCCAGGTCGGGGGAAGTTCCAATCCTTGTCGCCGCCGGCGTTCAACATGGAGGCTTCCAGCTCAGGATCAGTACCCAAGAAGTCAAGGGATGTTCATTCGTGTTTGACTTGAGAAGTGCTTGACCTCCATTCCATTGTGCCTCCCTTACTGTTTCGTACATCAAGTATCATCAACTTGTGCCACTCAGTGGACTGTATCCCGTATCCGTATCCCGGGTTTCCAAACTCGTCACCAAAAGTTACTTCCACTTGTTGAAAATCAGGTGGCCAGGTATTATATATATATATATGTATATTACTCCCTGAAACAGCCTTTAATATGATTTAATATATCATTTATAGATAGATTGTGTTTATTTTTATAAAACTAGATATATTATCTAACTATCTATAAATGATATAAACAATCTATCTAAATAATATTGTTTTTATTTACAGGTATATAACTGTATTATATGATTTAACTATCCAATTTTCGCCGGTGAACTCCTCACGGGTGTGTGGTTCTCCAAGCCCAATGAATCTTGGTGAACACCGAAGTGCTTGGAAGGTGGTGGGTCCTACTGCCAATCCTTTGCCATGTCCTCTGTGATGGGAAAGGATGGGAAGGTGCGAGGGATTGCGAGGGGCCCAGGGGCCCAGCGGCCCAGGGGCCCGGGCCCGTTGGAATCCGCATAGATTATCACCTGTGAAGAGTTGAAGCTGTTGTTAGTTACTTCGCTTGTTTCTAGGTGCAGCTGTTCTCCGTGGATTGTTGGACTGCTGCATGCGGATGCATGCGGTAAAACCTCCTCTTGGTTACCCTCTGGTAAACTAACTTAACTATGGAAAATCCGCATGCTATTAATGGGTAAATCCACTATTTCAATGGCCATGTTCAATAGTTATGTTAAATTGCCAAAGGGTACTTGTTCTTTTGGTGTTCCACGACTGCCCGCAGGATCACCAACACATCACATCCCCGATAGTGATGTTCCCATTCAATGATCGACCGCTCTCCGCGTAAGAATCGTGATCACCAAATCGTGGTTCCATGGTGTTCCATGTGATTCTACTATAGTCAGGAATGACATCACTATTTAGGAAGAATAGAATAACTTCCCCTATGGGAAATTTAACATAACAGTAGAAGTTAATACAAGTTATATAACACCAAGGGTATAATTCTGGTTGGTGGTTTGGAACATGAATTTTATTTTTCCATATATTGGGAAGAATAATCCCAACTGACGAACTCATATTTGTCAGAGGGTTTGAAAAACCAGCAACCAGTTTAGTTTTTATGGATTTTTATCGCCAGAATTTGCCCGGCTCTCCATCAGAGTTGTTTATTTGGGATCATGCGGTCCAGCCCCATGGCTGATTCATCACTATGATCTATACATTGTTTGGATAAAGTGTCAGTCTTATTTCCAGGCTAAAGTGTCAGTCGCATTTTCATAAGGATAACTTTCAATCATATTATCAGTATATATATATATGTGTTATATATTGTAATAATAATAATATATATATACATGAATTCTAAAGTTATCCCATGTAACTTCTCATGGAACAATCCCATCTAAATGGGACGAGATTTCTTTCAGGCTTCATCTCATGCGTTTCCTGGTTTTGCGCATATATGACCATTATTTTCCCATGATCTCCGGTTGTATCCCCAGTTATTTGGATGACAGGTATTTCCATATATTCTCAAATGAAAACGTACCATGATATCCCAAATCCCTTCCTCCAAATCTTGAATATGCCCCGTATGAAAACCTGGTTTGGTATAGGATCTATTTATGAGTGGGTGGTCCATGTTTAGGGTGCCTATTGTATATATTATCACCATTTCAGGATTGTCAATGATGGTTAAACCACCTTAGACCACCATTTTTGATGTTCAAACCACGTTCAGCCACCATTTGGAGGTTTCCTTAAATAATGCTACCCCCAAATCATCCATTGTAATAGGATGTAATAGGATGTTCCATTATATACCAGCCATTGGGGTAGCCCACCCATCGGATCCATCGTGTTTTACGGAACGCGGAATGCCGCGCGGAACGCAGATGCACACGGAGAAGTACAGCTCCTCGGACGTGGGCCACACGGGGCATGGCATTCGAGAGGCGCAGCATGCCTACTCCAACTCCACCAGTGGCGTTGCGCCTTGGCCCAGCGGATCCCACGTTGGGGGCTGCGAAACATGGGCTGATTTCCGCAAGACAACTGGTGATTTAGCCATGGAACATGGGCATTGAAGCAACAGAAATGGTGATTTAATATGATTTAACCATGAAACATGGGGATTGAAATGGATTGAAGCAACCAAAATTGGGGAGATTTCAATATACTTCATGTTTTTTTTAACCAAGATGATCTCGTTGAGGCTTACATGTCATGGGGAGTCGCCGGTGAAGAATGAGAATTCTGGTCTGCCGAGATTTCATGGAGATTCATGCGCGATGGAATCATGGAGATTCATGTTTCATGGATGTTTAATGATGTTTGAAATTTGGGGGTTTCCATCAATGGGGATACCCCAAAATAGATGGTTTATGTGGTTTATGATGGAAAATCCAATCTAGAAATAGATGATTTCGGAGTACCCCCCATGACTTAGGAAACCTCCATATGTCATTGCGCTAACAAAAACACCACCTGTTAAATCATTATTGGTGGCGTTTCACTCATCACCTTTGCAGGCTAAACATGGGAAACGTTCATCGTTAGAATTTGACTATTGATTATTGATTAGTCAATTGACGCTTCAGTTTTGAACTGTTTTGATGATTAAGTATCAAGACACTAATATGAATTGACTATCAACAGTATCACACATAGATATGTCACTATCAAGAATGTGTATTAGACCATGAAACTGGGGATACAATCATCAACATTTGGGATTTGACATGGTTTAGTCAACAAGTTGCAGGGGGGTGACCTTGAATCGTGGGGTTTGGTAAACTTGAAGCAAGAAAATGTATGCATTGAGGTGGGCGGTTGGTGGAAATGGTACATCCACCACATGAATGTTATATGCGTGTACACATATATATATATATATATACATACCAGATATACATAATATGTAAATATATCAGATTATTATACAAAGGTGTGTTTATATTTATATATTTCTTCATATGGTCTATTTCTACCATTTGGGCAGTTTCTCCATCCTCAAAACCCTGTCAAAGGACAAGATGGGCTTGGAACGACATTTGGGAGACCGTGCAAGAAAGATGGTCAAGGTGACCCGCGTGTGACACTTTTACTTTTACGGTCGAAAATGAGGCCCCAAATTCAGTAGACATACCCTCTGGTAAACTAACATATCTATGGAAAATCACCATTTTTAATAGGTAAACCATCTAGCCATGTTCCATAGCTATGTTAGTTTACCAGAGGGTACCCGGTACTCCTATGTTTGGAGAAAGCTACAAGGACCAAGAATCAAAATGTGGCAATTGTTTGGCTGAGGTCTTTGTTTTGTTTCAGAGTCTAGGCAACAAAATGATGGAATGCAAAATCCGCTGCTTGGGGTATGAGGCAGAAGGTGGAGCTGCAAATGTCCAGTGCCACATGGTGATCATCCATGGTTAATACATGTTAATTCATGTTGATACGTTATTGGGTCATATGTGGTTAGTGGATAAATGGTGTCAGATATATGACGTTAACATACGTATAGAAGATATTAATGTTATATGGTCAATAATGTATGGTTATTTACTACCTTTAGCACATCGGAATTGAACATTTGGACATGCTCGGATCTACCCTGCAAAGTGAATTTATTTTGGTGTGGGTGACGCTCCAGTAAACCAACATATAGCTCTGGAACATCCATAAAATGGATATGACAATGGTCCATTTAGTTCGATGATTTACATTGATTTAGTGTTTTTTTGTTAATTTGTTTATGGGCATTATAGATGGTATACCTATTAAAAATTGTCCATTTATAGATGGTTTACCTATTAAAAATGGTTATTTTCCATAGCAGACTGTTGAATGACGATCGAGGGTAGCAGCTGCCAGGAACGCAATCGTTTCACCATGGAGGAGCATTTGACGTATCAGCCCGGGTGGTTGATGAACTTTGGTGGTTTAAAAAGCTTGAAATTTGGCCATCAAACGATGAGGTAATTAACCATTAATGTGAAAACTAATGTGAAAACTAATCGTTTAGAAAAATAAAGTAACTAACCATGAATGTGGTAATTTAGTAATCACTAATGTTGGCAATTTAGAAACTAACCATTAAAAGTTAACTAATGGTTTATCAGTTATTTATATGTTATAACCATCAAATAAACAGAAAATCCATCAAAGTGAATATAACTGATAAATGTTGGTTGATGATTGTTGTAGGGGCTTGTGCTAACCTTGTTCTTAGTCATTGGGGATCATCTTAATCCATTGGAGGGGAACCCAGTTCTCAACCAACTAGTGCCAACCAGTAAATATCACGGGATCATGGAATGATGCTTCATTATATTGCTGGAATGTGATATTTGGTAGGCTGGATATGGTATTATATGGGAAAGCTAATTTTTAGACATATTGTACATATATACGTATGTGGGCTAGTACCAATTCTGCGGGAAAAAACAGCCTGATAGTGTGAAAAAAAGTACCCATTTGTTTCTAGAACAAATATTGCGGTATACTCACTTGGAATAGTTCATGAGGATTACCATTTCTTTTTAAGATTGCCAATTAGAATACATGTATCCAATAAGTGTAACAACCATTGGCCTGGGTAATTATAATGACCTCACTGCGACCTCACTGGAATCATGGTTAATAAGGGAAATCATCCCCAAATGGCCTTAATTCAGGTCAGTGAAATATTATAATTTACCCAGATTGGTTCCTGTAAACTGTAAATGTTCCCCTTATCCAAGCCAATAGTACATAGATGTACATAGTATGTATGTTATGTATGTATCTGTATTATACATATGCTCCTAATGGCACGAATCATTGACACAGAATCCGTTTGGTCAAACTCTTTGTCATCGTGACTTGGCGCAGGAGAAATGCTCCGAGATGCTTCGAGGCTGTATTTTTCATGGGGAGCATGATGATCAAGAGGAGTAAGTAAACTAATAAACCCATGAATGGTACATTAATTTAATGGTACATATAAATTCTGGGGAACTTTGGGGTTTTGTCTATTTTTCAGACAGTTTGCCTTTTTCGTAATCAGAGTTCGCCACTTTTTCGCCATGACTTTGTGTGGAACATCCCTGTGGTTCTAAAGTAAGTGAATCCCAGGCCCAAGAGTTTGTCAGTATTGGTTATTTGACGGTTATTTAGTTACTTACTGTTGCTAAACGTAGGGAATGGATGGGTTGCTGGGGTTGCTGGGATGATTATTACTCGTGATTATGGATCATTCCCGAAAATTCCCTGCTAAAAACTAGTAAGGTTATTATATGTTATCAAAAAACTGGCATGCGTAGAACTGATCTCTGGCCATGAACATATCAAGAACTGATTGCCACGGAGATCTCGTGGGCAGAGGTATGGATGAAGGTGGACGGGATCACTTTGACAAAGACTTCAGTGGCCGCTCGTCGCGACAAATCGAGGATGTTTGAGAGATGTGGCCTCTTGATTATCATAAATATCTACACAGTTTTTCTTACCATACATACCGGAGAAAATCTACAGCATGTGCGGATCATTTCCGGGGGAAACCATATGGATTTTCCATGAAAAAGATCCCAAAGATGTTGTTTCCAGGTCCTGCATATAAACCCATGCAGAATTATACTGTAGCCACCTTGGGTCCTAGGAATCTGACGTGAATTGTCTGAACATACAATATTTGTTCATCAAAATCCCATGGTTAATCATCATTTGAAAAGCTTTCATTCATAATCCAGTATACCTCCATTACTACGTGTACTGTATTGGTTGCATGGAACATCTACAGGAAATGATGGAATTTACCATGCAATATTGATGGATATGGTGGTTTCCTGTCACTTTACCCTTCAACCAATCCATTGACATATGGTTTTCTATGGCTTTCCTATGGTTTTCAGCTAGAACCGTGTAGCGCACGGCACCCACGATACGTTTCAAGGCCTCTCCCGACATCTTCCACCCCACGGCCGGGGTGGCGCATTGGCCGACACAGGTGCGGCAGAACGGCCTTGGATGATGTTCTCCCGGCAGAAATCACAAATTTTAATAGGTAAATATGGTACATCATCTATATAATGTCGGATTTATTATATAGGTTAGGTAACTATACAATATAGAATATTTACCCATAACTGGTTGGTTGATTTACCCATAACTGGTTGGTGGTTTCAAACATTTGTTTATTTTCCATAATGTATGGGATAATCCCTCCCATTGACTTTCATATTTTTCAAGATGGTTAAATACACCAACCAGATATAATGTAGGATATATTATATAGGTAAATCATCTATAAATAGGTAAATCATCTCCATCTTGGGGTATCTCTATGTATATTCTTGTATAGCTACCCTCTGCTAATCAAACGTAGCAATGGGACATCAGAAATGGAGGCGCTTTGATTTTTGTGTAAATCATCAATGGGCCGTTTTAGATATATTTCTGTTGGTTCATTGGAGGGTAACCATCAGCTCGTTGGATCTTGGGACCAAACTTTCTTGGGTACTCAAAGTTCGTGGCAGCCACGTGTGAGTACGGCCTGGGCGGCCTGATGAATGGAGTTGGTCTCAACCCTCCATGATTCTATGACAGGAACAGCTGCCATGTTTGTTGCTGGAAGGGCGGTAAAACAATGCCATAAAGGATCATAAAGGCCATAAACCACCCATAACTGGGAATGGTAAACATACAACTTATCTATGGTGAAATTGGGGATGGTTTATTATTGTTTTACCAACATTACACCACATTGACCATTTTGCCATTTTGGACAGACCCAAACCGTTCCGAACCAGGCCGCAGAGGGATGCTTCCTGGTGGGCGACAGGGCCCCGCCAGCATCACCAGCGGACCCACGGGCGTCACACGCGGTGCCCGGCGCTGAGTTTTCAGCTGTACAGAACGCTCCGAAAGCGACCATGCCCAAGCAAACTTGAGAGGAAGACACCACCGCTGCAAAGTTTGTCACTTGGTGAAAATTATATACTGTATTATAATTATATATATAGCTGAAAATGGTCAATAAAAGATGTGAGATGGAATGGTGCAAGGGAACTTTGAGGCTCCCAAGTTGGAGGCAACCTGACCTGGGTGGCTCAAAGACTTGGACCCCGGTTACCAGAGATTTCGCGGTGTCCAAGTTTGCCTGGGTGAAGTCCCTGGGACTCAGCTAAGAGAGCTTTGACCCCATGACCTTTCTGAACGTATGCTGGCATCCGTTTCTATTTATCATCATTTATCCACGTTTATCCATCCATCCATCCATTCATCCATGGATCCAACCATCCATTCGTTGTAGATTTAACCACACAGAGCTGGAGTGACTCACAAGGAGGTTGGCTCACGAAAGATGGTGAATGGTGACCCGGGGAATCATTCCCAAATACCAACGACCTTATTTTCAGCTTGCTGAATTATTTTGAGTTTTCTAGAATCTATGGGTTTATAATGAGAGTTCTTAGCCAGATACCAAGCCGATAATCATCCAAGCAAGAGTCGTGTTACCCAAAGTTGTCATTAGACTGGTCACTGCATTCTGCGAAAAGTACCCTCCAAACCATAAATGCTGAAACTGCTACTGGACTCGTTAGCTTGGGTTATCAGCACCGGTTTTAGGGAGAATCCATAGATAACCATTACTTCAAGTATCATTTAAGCATAGCTATGAATTGACACTAGAGATGCTGGGTCTCAAGTAGTTGGAGCCTCGCTGTTGATCCTTCCCGCCAAAATGTAGAGCAATCACATTGGATCAAGTTCCAATTGTCTTGGATTCTCACCATTCAAGTGAATCTACATGGAATACATCGTTACACATGGATGATACAATACCCCTTCCACCTGTGAAGTATTATCCCAGTTTCTTGATGCTGCACGGCAATTCTGTGTTTATGAGACTCACAGAGCCATGACTTTTATGACTTTCCATTGGGAATTGCCATGAATTTCAGACTCCCAAGTGACGAAGTCATATTTTGAGGGGTAGGTATACCACCAACCTGTTATTTTGGTACTGGTATTTTGCCAAGTGGTATACCATTTCCAACTAGTTTCCTATAGTTATACCCAACTAGTTTCCTTTTTGCCAAGTCCAACTAGTCCAACTGTTGCTTTAGAATATGTTGGAATCTGTCAGCGGGGACAGAGGTGGGAAGGCATTCTTGCTGACAAGAGACCAATAGACTCCCACGACGTGGTGGAAAAAAAGCACGTGCTTCGTTCCCTGGGCATCTTGCTGGAATGACCCATAGGATCCATGTATGGTATATATGCTAACATTTGGGGTATATTGATGGTAAACGTTACCATATATAACATACATGGATCCTATGGGTGATGCTTGAAGTGTCTAGGAGCTTGTAGCCGGTGTTCAGATTCCCATATACCCCTTTTTTCATGGGCTTTCATCCGCTTACAGGCCACTTCCATCCACTTGGGGCATCCAACAGCCGGAGCAAAGAAAAGGAACTCGCAGCTCAGTGTTCGTCAACGAATCTCAGATCATCAAGAACATGCTTCCTGTATGGGTTTCCATGGAAATGGGGGCGTAGCCCGAAATTCATTGCATGTCCCTGTTTTGTTTCTGCAATCTATGGGCAAAACACGTGTGCTTGGATGCAACATGAACAATACGCAAGGCAGCCAACTACGGCAACCCGTTGGTCATACACAACAACCCTACGCACGTTGAGGACACATAGCCTGATGGTTCCAAAAAGTTTGGGAGGCTCCATAGGTAACGAATACATAGGGATGTTCTTAAAGTTAGGTGTCCATCAATGATCAACAGTCAGGATGACACATAGATACCCTAGGGTAAACTAACATAAATGTGGAAAACCAATGGTTTCCTTTGAAAAGCGACTGATGTACTGTTGGTCTTCCACTTCTATGTGAGTTTAATTCTGGGACAATGTTTAACATGAAATAGCTCTTGTTATAACTCTTGAGTCACCTCCTTTGGGACTCCGTTGCAGGGGATGAAGAATGATAGTGGCAAAGATCGACCTGTGCTGAAATTGGAGGCGCCAATCCTCTCCCCCCATGGGAAAATAGGGTGTATATACCCCATTTCATCCCATCATGTGAGTTTGTTTACCTGTAGTAAGATTGGCGTTTTGGGGGGTAGTTTGGGACAAAGCATCCCATTATCTTATCCTGTTGAACAAAAAGCTGTCCCCGGCACAGTATAATAACATGATGGGTTCATACTCGCACCTTCGCCGCAGCAAACCCAAGTTTCATAATTGGATCCACACCTTTGATGGCTGTATCCATATCTTCGCATTTTTCCACTACTCATGTGGGGGTTCCAAGAATTGGGGTACCCGAAAACCATGGGCGTCCCAATTGAACATGATTTTGGGTATTGAAACCCATGGATGTTTACCAGAAAATTCAATGGATATATCCCAATGGTACACGAATGGTTTATACAGATTATAATCATAATTTCCCAGATTATCATCATTATACACCAACGGACATACCTTAATTCAATGGGTATAATGATGATAATCTGACCCATTGAATTAAGATATACCCATCCCATTATAGTCATTACAATCCAGATTACTGTATGATAATCTGGTTGGTGGTTTGGAACATGGCTTTTATTTTCCCCAAAAAAATGGGAGTAATCATCCCAACTGACTAGTATTTTTCAGAGGGGTTGAAACCACCAACCAGTTATAATTATTATTATAATTGTTGGTTATAGTGGTTAAATCACCATTTTCCTATGGTTTTCCTATGGTTTTCCTATTTTTGTTTTTTTTGTTCGGACCCCAAAATCTGTCAGGTGGCGGCTGAGGATTTCGTCGACCGCAGGAATTACATCCAGCTGGTGGGATGCGGTTGACCGCCTTGTGTGTTCAGGGGATTCAAGGGGTTTAACAGCAGGATCATTGATTTATATATATATATACTGCATATAAATATATATATACACTGCATATACATACATACATACATATATATATATATATGATAGTAAGCCCATCAAAAAAAAAAAGTAGCAGCCTACTAGTTGTTCTGTTTGTTCGGCGGTATCGTAACCGGTATCTAACCCATCATGGGGATTTGACGATGTTTCAGACATGAACAGGATTCAACCAGACACACTGGGATTCACAGATTGTAAGATGATGATTTGATAGTGTTTGCACTTGACTATTGTACAGTGATAATTCAAGTTGATATGGGGATTTAGCCAGTAAAGATACCCTCTGGTTATTTAACATAGCCATCGAAAATGGCCCATTTATAGATGATTTTCCCATTGAAACCTCCATTTATGAGGGATTTTCCATGGCTATGTTAAATCACCAGATGGTAGGACAATCTCTACCGGGATAATTCCCCCTGGCACTACCATGGAATCCATGGATTGTTTTTGCCCCCACCTCCAGTGTTTCTACCAGTTTCTTCACTTCCTTGTGTCCACCCGGGATATTTATATATATATATACTAGTATATATTATGATACTAACATCAACAAGATAAACAACATGCATAACCTGTTACATGAAGTATTTGCATATGGTGTTTCTGCTTCTGTGCCTAAAAAGGACCTGGGAAAGAACCGGGCGGTCTCCACACGTTCCCAGGCTTCGAAGGCAGCAAAGAAGCAGGTGAAGGAATTTCGGAAAGTCATGGGTTGGTGGCCCAGCCATCTGGGTCTGATTGAAATATCAACAGAATCATGGGATAAATATGGGGCTAATATAGGGAATTTATAATAGGGGTTAATATAGGTAATAAGGAATCAAATGATGGCTAATATTAATAATCATGGCTAATTATTGTTAATAGGGATTACAAGTAATAGGGATTGATAGGAATTGATAGAGATTAATATAGGGAACATGGGGTAGGATGATGGAACATGATTAACTGCTATAGGACATGGATGTAGGGGTCATTTTCAGACGACATCTGACCTGGTAGATTTGGAAAGATATCGTATGAGTTCCAGCTTCCATTGGGTACCCTTTTATGTGATGAACTTGGAAGTTTATACTATGAGATAATTAACACTTATTGACTATATACAGGGATAATTAGCATTGATATACACAAATTGACTATTTACAAAGATAATTAGCATTAATATACACAAATTGAATATATACAGGGATCAGTCAACCTTCCACCAGTGCATGGTTTGGAGAGTACCGTCGCCAATGGTATCACTGCGAGGTCCTCCCAGCTTCGGAGAAGCTCGAAGTGAGTTGTGACCATGACGATGGCCACTTCGGATATTTAAAGGAGGGTGCTAGAATTACCCTCTGGTAAACTAACATAAATATGGAGAATCACCATTTTCAATGGGTAAATCCACTATAAATGGCCATTTTCAATAGCTATGTTAAATTACCAGGGGGTAGCAGGAAGTTCATAAATTTAGTAATGTTACCATGAATCTATCGATTACCATAAATTTAGTGATACCTATCCTGCTAATACATTACCAGCGCTAATTCTTAATGCTAATGTGACCAGGAAGACATGGATTTAAAATGAATTAAATCCTTAATGGTCAGTAAACCATCATAGGTTTTGATGGTGAACAACCCTCTTGATCCGAAGAACCACCGGAGAAGTGGGGATTGATCATCCCCGTGAAGTGGCGCTTTGCGGCGGAAAAGGTGTGGACTGCGAGGACTGCGATCAGCTGAGATGGGTTTAACAAAAAAATTGAGGCCTCTAAGATTCCAAGAGTATCACTATCACCTCAGGCCTGACTTTCATGAAAACATCTTAGTAGCTGAATAAGTTGCAGAAGTTGAGCTGAAAATCATCAGATCCGCCATGTGGTGCAGCTTCTCCGAAAAGATCTTCGAATGATATTTTTTAGCAGGTTGGTGGTTTGGAACATGGCTGGATTGTTTTTCTATATATTGGGAATCATCATCCCAACTGACGAACTCATATTTTTCAGAGGGGTTGAAACCACCAATCAGATAGGATACCATAGAGTACCCCAAGATTTGATGCTTCACCAGTTTCCCCACCCAAATTGCTGGTGGTACCCCATCTTCAGACACTGCGGATGAGGATTCCCTTCAGGATCAACCTTGGTGGGGATGCCATAGATGGAGGTACCACCCAGCTGATATGCGGCCTTGGTTTCCAACCACCTGAATTGGATGGCAACAAGTCACAGGAAACCCATGCATCTGTGAGCAAAACCAGTCTGAAATCAATCCATTGACAAGCATTTCATGATAATATTGCAGTGAACAGACAATGTCATGCCCACCGGCTGCAACAACCCATGGTTTTTGTGGATAAAAACCCTTGAATCAGCTCAAGTCAATCCATTGATCATCATAGTTGCTGTTTTTGTTGACCATGTTACATCATGTTACATCCCCAGCAATCCAATGGTTAAAACCCCTTACATTAATCCATGCCGGAATCTCTCCCGCCATGTCCATCTTTCGGTCCCATGGTTGGAGCCGAAGCTTTTCATCTGCACTTCAGAAGTCTGCCACAGCGGAACTTCGAATCCGGCCGTGCCTGTGAAGCTGTTTGAAAGGGAGAATACTGGGATATAAATATATGGAAACCCCAAGATTCAGATAGTTTCCAGGATGGTCTATATAGATGATATGTCCCTTACAATTTGCAGATGTCCAACTGTTCTATGTCATTATTTGTTTGACTTTTTTGGGGTTGATATATATATATATGCTATAAATGGGATATAAATGGGTGATTTAATCAGCGAAAATATGGTGGTATTGGATGAGCAATCCATCATCAGTTGAAGTCGCCATGCAGCAGAGATTTGCCCAGCCATAAACACGTGATGTAGTCAGGGATGTAGAATAGAAAGATGTCGAATTGTTGTTTAATTAGATGCAGTCTAGAGTTGCAGCAAGTCATTTAGATCTTTACCATCCCTTACCACAGTAGGCGTGAATAAAGGATCCAAACACACAAGGAGGGTTTAACCGGATCTACAGCTTCTTTCAGTGAGAAGATGAGCCATGTCCGACTGCATCCAAAACATCCAAAACCAAGCTACAAAGGTGATTGGCCCAAAGCGCATTCACAGCAGTTGAATATATCCCTAACATTCCCTAACTAGCTATAGATCACTTATAGATGTGCTGATAAACCAAGTTCTAGTTTCACCGGAGGAATACGTGTGTTTTGACTGCCTACTGGTTATTGTACAATACTGTTTATATGAATATATACTGATGATCGATGATGTACAATGTACACAATAGGTACAGGAAAGATAAACAAATACGACGGTCTTCTAGAGCTTCTCAGTTCATGTTCACTGTTTTCAGAGCTCAAGATTTCAATTATATCGTTCTGCTTTCTCAATAACAATGTTCGATTTATATCGATTTATATCAATTTATATCAATATTAGTGACCCGCTACCACCCTTAAAGCTTCATCGACTTGAGCAAATCATGCATTTGTGCTTCAGAATGAGAAAGATCATTAAATGGAAACAATTGAAAGACCACACATGTTTTGACATTGTCATTTCATGGAAACAAAAGTGGTCTTTCAATTGTTGCCACTTTTTGGAAACTTTGAAACCACCATTCTAAGGACTCCGAGCCGCCCCGCGCCTGCCGCGCCTGCCGCGGCGGCCCATGGTGTGTCGCTGCAACGGAGGGAAGCGCCGCAGAGAGCTGGGGCTGGCCGGAAGTCCTTGTGATTTGGCGCCAAGCTGGGGCATGACCCTAAAAACATGACAAAATGGTGATGAAATTTGATAAATCACCATCAATCATGGAATTTTTCAGCGACTTGAATGGGGATTTAAGCAACAAAATTCATGGTAGAATGATGGATAATATATTTTAATATATATATATATATATTATTATTATTATTATTATATATATATATATTTAATATATGTGTATATATATAATAAACATAATATCATATATATATAATATAATGTAATATAATATAATATAAAATAAAATTATATAATATCATATAATATAATATAATATAATGTAATCAAAATATTTCATATTTAATATTTAACAAAATTTATTATTTATAATATAATATTTAATATATAATATATAATATATAAAATATATAAAAATATGTTTAATACAATATATAATATAATATATTTTATAATATATAATATAATATATAATATAATATATAATATAATATAATATATATAATTTATTATATTAAATATAATGCAATATATAATGTTATATATATATAGTATGATAGTTATAAATAGTATAATAAATTTTAATATACTATATAATATTATATAATATAGTATAATAGAATATAATATCATGTAATGTAATATAATATATTATATTATATATAATATGATTTAATTATATATATATTATAATATATTATTTTATACTATATAATATCATATAATATATGATAATATACTATATAATATAATATATTATAATGTAATATAATGTAATATAAAAAATAATATAATATATAATGTAGTTTAAAATTTAATATATAATATATTATTTACAATATATAATTTAGTATAATATACTTTAATACAATATAATATTTAGTACAATTCAATATCTAATATAAATTTTAATATAAAGCAATATAATATATAATAGAATTTACTATAATATATAATATGATTTAATATAGTATAATATTTAATATAATACAATATAATATTTAATATAATTTAATATTTAATTTAATATAATATTATTTAATATAATATTATATTTAATATAGTATAATATAATATTTATTATAATTTAATTTAATATAGTATAATATAATATTTATTATAATTTAATTTAACATAAAATAATTTTATATAATATATAATATATAATATAATATCATATCATATCATTTCATATCATATCATAGTATATATATATGATATTTTTTTTAAATATTATACAATCTAGCTAAATCACGACGATGTTGCAATGAAGTCACTGGAAATGATGGTGTTTGAATTTGGAGAACCATCCCAAATTGACCTCAGTTCAGGCGAGTGAATTTGTCTGCACTTTCAGGAATAATATTGTTTGTTGTGTAACTAAGTCTAAATGGGACTTTTAACCCTTTCATGGTGTTAATTGAAATTCATCATCATGAATTACTTTGTTTTAATATGTTTTAATGGTGTTTAGTGTGAATATTCACCCTTCAAAATGCTTAGCAGAATGGGGATATTACACTGTCCTGGCAGCCACTTTGGATGGCAAGAGGAGCCGACAGGGCCATGGAACATGAAGCAACTGGCTCAAACAGGGCCATGGAATTTCTAAATGGATATCATAAATGGACGTCAATCACTATAGTTGGCTAGTTTTGCTTGGAACTATATACAGTGTATACCCTCTGGTAGTTTAACAGTTTGCTATTGAAAATGACCATAGAAATAGTGGATTTTCCCATAAAAAAGGGTGATAGTCACCAGAGGTTAACCTATACTAAGTCATGCCATCCATGACTTGGATAATTTGGGGATACCCCCGTGACTTAGGAAGCCTCCAAATTGTCAAAGATATGGTCTGATCCTTCGGTTTTCAAAATCAGCAACAGCCTTTGCTTTTTATCTTACGTTGGTGATTCAACTATGGTTTGATACTTTCGTTCCCATTGTTCAAAGAGGCGAAACCCGCACCCACCAACATAAACCAACAGGAAAACTTGGTCAAAGGTAAATAGATTCGACAAAGCTGACAAGTGTAAAGAATGATGGAGATATGATGCAAAAAAAGCAGGTGATCACGGGTCAAATATGGGCATGTCACCCGGTTCACGTTAGTAACTCAATAGGTTTTATGTGGAAATTACGTCTTCCCTATCAGCAGGTCGCAAGAAAGCAACAAAGATCAAATAGATCATCGATAGATCATTTTCAATGATCTCCTGCCAGAAAGGTTGGCATGTCTTGTCCGGATGTGAATCGTGTTGGTGAACATAGGATGTGTTGCTAGAGGTCATCATTCCAATCTGGGTAAACCTTGGGTAGGATTGTGAGTAAATGGTTTGCCATAAATGGATGAACAACCTTTACACAGAATGCTGAAAATTCGGTTGTTTCCTGGCGAAAGACATGCGGCAAGCCATGCCATGCACAACATGTGTCTTTATGATCAGGACACCTCCAACTTTGATCGCAACGACCATGTTGTCTTGTAGATGTCTTCCCATGTGGGTATGGGTCAATACCTATACATACCATTTTTAGTGGGATGAACATCCATTTACCAGCTATTTTGATGTTCACCAGGGGTACAAGGTTTTGACCCACTGCCATGTGTTCCCATATTTTCATTTTGTTCCCATGGTTTTGCCAATGATTCCCCATCTTTTCCCTGAAATTCATTCACTGAACCCATCATTTGCCCATCGAAGCTCGACGGCTCAAATCCTGAGGCTCAAGACTGCTTTGGAGGTGAGAAACTCACCACTGCCGGAGACAAAGATGGAGCCTTTAAAAATACATCTTTAGCCGTCCATATCACTTATATCACTTATAAACACTGGAGGCATACAGATCTAGATTAGTGTTACCATTTTCGGGATTAGATGATGGGTAAGCATTATATCTATCACATTCAACACATCTAAACAACGTAATTAATTTAGCAGAAATCAGCACGCCATCAAGAATATAATGGTAAAACGGTTGAGGAATATGGGAATATCGGATTTGTGGAAATCTACACATGTGGGTCAATCATGCTGAGTAAGTTCTTAGAACCACCTCGCAACGATTTATGTCTGTACGGTAAATAAATCATGGTTTGTACAGTGATGTGGGTAGTGCATAAGTGCATATACAGATACAAATATACATATATATATATTTAACTATGTATATAACTATATATATAACTTACTATAATATAGCTTACTATTTTTATATATAACTATAATTTTTTTTGATTATGTATGTATTTTTATATTTACATATGTATATCATCCCAATCATGTCTTATTGATTTGTATTTCAGGTATGTAGTTTCTTCTGAACTTCTCAGATCATGGGTTTGTTGTGACTGAAGCCCCGTGGAGCTGGTTATCCATTCTGTGGTCGGGGTTGGATGGGTGATGTCTCCCTAAACCAGGAAATCACGCTGGCCAAAGAAGAGGTTGTTTATACACATGCATATACATAATATTACATATATATACATATGTATATCTATATATATATATACCTGGTTGGTGGTTTGGAACATTTGGATTATTTTTCCATATCTTTGGAATAATCATCCCAACTGACTAATATTTATTTATTTATCGCTGTTATATTATATATGTCATTTCACTGTTTCATGTGGTACCTGGTGATATTCAAAGTCCAGCGCAACTGGACGACTTTGACCTGTACATGTTGACTCCGGTGACTCTTCCCATAGTGACGTATCGCACGGAGATACATCGGTTACCCTCTGGTAAACGTTTACAAAACTATGGAATGTCTATTTAATAGGTAAATCATGGTAAATCAACTATAAGATAGCCATTTTAAATAGCGAACTGTTAAGTTCCCAGAGGGTAATTTTGACATATGACCCAAACACATAGGCTCCTGCTGGTATGTCCGTAGCAAGGACCGTATGTCTGAGATCACACTTCGAGGCTCAGAGACTGAGGCACGGAGTGAGCGGTGCTGTGGGTGTTTTGTGAAGCGTGCCATCTTTCAAAAACGGGATCTTTGTAAGATTCACCCTCTGGTAATTTAACAGTTCGCTATTGAAAATGGCCCAGTCGAAATAGTTGATTTATCCATTAAAAACGATGATTTTCCATAGGTTTTGTAAACGTTTACCAGAGGGCAACCTGCGTCAAGATCTGTCAGCATCTGTGGGTTCCAAAGATCTGACCATCCATTTAGTCCACGAAATGCCAAAAAATCGTGATGCCAAAACGAGATCCACAAGTCTTCTGAACATTTTATCATATCACCGGTACCTCCATTTTTTCCGGTTCCTGAAATGGCCATTGAGTCATTGAGAATATATAGATCTGGTTGGTGGTTTGGAACATTATTTTTCCACATATTGGGAATAATGATCCCAACTGACTTTCATATGTTTCAGAGGGGTTCAAACCACGAACCAGTATTATAATCTTATAGTTTTATACATCATGATAAGGTTATTAGGTGGATTCATCCCATAAAAATGAGCCAACTTTTCAGTTTGGTAATTTGTAATTCAGCCAGATCTTATCATATGATCATGACGCATGACCCATGGCGTTCTTGTTTGATGATATA